AAAACGCTTTTTGGAAGAATCCAGGTTACTGGCAAGCATGGGTTGGACAAATAAAGCGGAAACATTCGCAGATGTGGTAAAAACAACGGAAGAAATTGTGACAGCAGCGTGTGCCACGTCTATGCCTAGAAGCAGTGGCCCCAGGAATAAACAACAAATGTACTGGTGAACCTCAGGAATAGCAGAAACACGTAAGAGCTGCATCAAGGCTAGAAGAATGGCGACAAGAGCCAGGACCGACCTATACCTTATAGAGCAATATAAAGCGTAACGTAAGCGATTTAAAAAAGAAATTAAAATGAGCAAAAGTGGAAGTTGGAAGGTACGCCTAAGGCAGATTGACAATGACCCTTGGGGTATGGCTTATAAGATAGTGACTAAGAAGTTTCGGATGGATTCCAAAATATCTTCCTGAATGACCCACAGTGGATGAAGGGAGCTATCAGAGAGCTCTTCCTCACAAGAAGTCGCTGGGTGAGGCGAAGACAGAATGATTTTATGTTCAACGATGTTGATTACTTTACGACAGATGAATTGCGGAAAGCAGTGAAGAATATGAAAACCGGGAAGGCACCAGGCTTGGATGGGATCCCCACCGAAATATTAAAATTAGTGGTACAAGTTTATCCAGAAGGTCTCCTGGCAATCTATAATAGATGCCTTAAGGATGGGAAATTTCACAAGAACTGGAAGAAACAAAAGCTGATACTCCTCCGGAAGGGCAAGAAACCGTTGGAACAGACATCGTCGTATAGACCTCTGTGCCTTCTTGATACTATGGGCAAGTTTCTTAAGGGGCTAATACTCTCAAGACTTGAAGAATATATAAGCTTTTCTCACATACAATATGGATTTCAGAAAGGCCGTTCGACGACGAATGCGATTTTAGAAGTAGTTCGCATCGCTGATGCAGCTAGATATGGAACTGAAAGGAAGAAGTAATTCTGCGCACTAGTAGCAATTGATATTAGAAACGCCTTCAACTCAGCCAGGTGGAAGGACGTCAAGGAAGCATTTGTTGACAGGGGGATCCCTGAATATTTGTTAAGGACCATCGTAGACTACCTTCATGAAAGAAAAATAATTTATACGGATAGCATCAAGATTAAAAAAATATGACGTGTGGAGTTCCACAAAGGTCCAGAATTGGTCCCCTTTTATGGAATGTACTGTATGATGGCATATTGAGTATTAGCCTTCCAAGAAATACGCAGATGATAGGATACGCGGATGATACACTAATAATAAGTCATAGTGACGATACTGAGGTGCTTGAACTAAGAGTGAATGAAGCACTATATAGAGTTAAAAGATGGCTAGACAAGACGACGTCTTCAGATAGCAGTAGGAAAAACTGAAGCTGTGTTAATTACCGAACGGTGGGCTTTTCGCTTTCCCGATATCCGACTGGGAGAAGAGAGAATAAACTGTAAGCGTCAAATTACATATCTAGTGGCTGAGGTACACAGAAGACTTAAGTTTGAGCCACACATAAGTGTGATGGCAGAAAAGGCAGCGAGGACAGGATCCAACATAGCAAGATTACCGGATGTACTTGGACCACGAGAAGCCAAGAGAAGGTTGATATCTGGAGTAGTTCATTCACAATTGTTGTATGCAGCACCAGTCTGGGCGAATTCATTGGGAAAACAGGTTATAGGAAATCAGTATGCTCGAGTGCAAAGACGAATGGCACTCAGGATGGCGGCTGCCTACTGTACGGTGTCTACATGCGCAGTGCTAGTATAGGCCAATATCCCGCCCATTGGTCTGAGAGCTATGGAAAGGAAAAGGACATACTCCGCCTTACAGGAAGCTCGACAAGTAAACAGCCAGCTCCCTCCCACGAAAATAAACTATTAAGAGTGATGCTAGGAAACTACTCTTTGAAAAGTGGCAAAGAAGGTGAAAGGTGAACACTAAAGGCAGATGAACACATCAGGTAATTAATAACATTGAGAGATGGGTCGGTCGAAAGTATGGGGAGGTGAATTATTACGTATCCCAGGCTTTTACGGGACACGGTGGTTTTGGTAAATACCTTTACAATTACAAGATTAAAGAAATTCCGACTAGTACCTTATGTCGAGAAGATATTGACGATGCAGAGCATACATGCAAGGCTTGGGATGCGGGAAGGGAAATTTGTAACGTTAAGCTTCAACAAGTGGTAACTTCCGGAAAACATGGTGGACATGATGTTGAGTTCGGAGGAGAAGTGAACTATAAAAGAGAACTACTTAGTTAATATCAAGAAGGAAACGGAACGGAGAAGTTAAAGCACTAGCTTCCAATCAATCTTCCACGCAAAGGAATGTCTAGCGACGGTTTCCGCGTGGGAGAAATCACAACTTAGGAGATGAAGGTTTAGATTTTAAACCAAGAACGAGAGTCCGACAGTATTGGCTTCACCGGTCTCCAAAAAGGATTTCCCCTTCTAAAAAAATAAAGTAATAATAATAATAATAATAATAATAATAATAATAATAATAATAATAACTATATTCACTGAGAATGATTAAACAATATGTGTTAACATTATTACAGTGTTCTGTTCTTTTTCTAGATACCTCCCCTTGCATGCAAGATCATTTTCTTTTTTAAATCTTAATTGCTCCCAAAAATTGATCTTCCTACAATAGATAATGTAATATATCCCTCTTTTAGTCACTTTCCTTTCGTGTTCCTCAGCCATCAAGAACGTCGTCCAGTATTCGTTCCAAGTTCCACTTTTGTCAAATCAATGGCATGTCTTTCCTCCACGATTACACCGCGATTATAACTCGTCTATTTGGGACTTTTCCCTACTAGTTACTGGTTTGTAAAGCTCGTTAACACATCTATGCATCCAAATACTACCGCGTCAAAATATTATCCCTCCATCCGCACCTCTCCGTGTCGGAATATCGTCTGCCCCGTTTGTTTTTCTTACGTGTTCCTCATCTGTCCTCCTGCGCGAGATCGTATTCGAATACGTTTCTCTTTCCTCCTAGTGCGCAAGGCCATTCCCTTTCTCGCTCATATTCTACTTTCTGATTGGTCACTGACACTCTAGCACTGTATTTGTTTATTCTTTGGTTCTTGATTCAAAATAATTTTCTTAATTTACTTTCTCACTCACGGAAATTGCTCGCGCGGCCTTTCCCTGTTTTATTTACCACTATATTCTTTATTTTCCCCGCTATCAATTATGTTGCGATTCCCTTGTTTTCTTGTTATTTACTATTCGATTCCTTGCTTCTTTTCCATCACCTATTGTTGCTGACGTCCTGTTTATATATTTATTCGGATTTATTGTTTCTATTAACACTCCCTTGTGATAACTTATCACAACAAGGACAGGTGATTTTCTATCGGGATTTTGCTTACATTTTGTTTGTAATATGGATTATGTATAATTATAAATACATCAAGAATTCAGGTATTATTTCAAAGATAAATTTGTAAAATAATTTTTTAAATTTCCACAGTAAACATCGCGGAAATAAATGTAATCTTATTGTTTTTCTCTGCAACTATGAGAAACTATGTGCCATTTTGTAGCACCACTAGTCTTTTGGTGCTAACATTTTGGCCTTCTGCAGGTCTGCATATCTCATGCAGGGTTACTTGAAGAATGCCAAATAATGTGACAGATCAGCAGCTGAAAGAAGAAAGCTTTCACTGATATGATAATGATAAATGAAAGAAATTGTATTACATGGGAAAAGCTAATAGAGGCACAAGCTGAATGAAAATAAATGGTACTCACTACACAAAATCCCAGCAGTCCAGTTGCATGCTGCATACATGAGTTTTAAGACATAATACAGTGGCAGCTAGTGAGGAATGTCCTGCTGTATCTGTTAGCAGTGGCCTGGCACAAAAAGAATTCTACCCCCTCCCTTCTGAGCATGTGTTATAATTAAGTATTTTGATTTGGTAATTTTATTTTTGTTTAAAATGGCATACAAATTATTTGAATTATTATTTCTAGTTTAAAATAAGTCCACATGGAATTGACAATTACACCTAAATTTATTTCTTACAAAAAAAATGCATATTTCATGTGATAAAACAGTCTTGGTAATTCAGAGTTATTTTATTCTTCAACTCATGAAAACTTTTCATTCAAAACAGCACTTGTACCCCAGATTGCTTTACACGTAGACTGTAGGCATGCATGTTAAGAAAAATCCAAACCCATCTCTGCCACTGCAATACATACCAGCATTTTTATCAGTAATCAAACAACCCACTTTGAATCTAAATGAAAATCTATTTCAAAAAGATAGGTATTTAGAAACATTTATTTTATATCTTAAAGGGAGTGGCTAATGAGATGTGGCCACCAGTGATGGTCTACCAGAGGCGTATCGAGGTGTTCAGACTCCCATGGCCAGCATAGAATTAGCACCGCTGTCAGGTTCAAATTAGGTTTGTTTTTGGAATTTGTTTCGGCGGGTGTACTCTTAATAGAGCCCCTTGTGAGTGGCACCCATGGCACATGCCATTTCTGCCATACTGTACTGATACCTCTGCTTCTTGCATTTCATGAGGGAGAGAGAAATAAAAATTGGGTTTATTGTAGAATATTAGAAATTTCAAAACTTGTCTTACTGCACCTCCCCTTTTGTTCTAGTTCATATTCTAACAGCCCTTTTGTACAAGCATAAAACTTTATCACAGTTAGTAACACCATTCCTGCTTGCATAAAGTCCAGGAGATATATAGTTAAGTATTGAGTCCATTTATTAGCTTTCACAGATGTTCAATTTGTTTTTCTTTCCATTTCCATTCAATCTTTGCCCAAAAATGCATAACTCTTTCATAAGCATGGTGCCACTCATGTCATGCTCATAGGTACGCAAGTAAAGCCATATTTATATTGTACTAAGGAATTTTATCATTTGAAACACTAATTTCTGTGAAGAGCCCTGAACATCTTTAGTAAGTCACAATGTAAATATTTGAGTCATTTTTTTAATAAAAGATTAGATTTAGTTATAACTACTATAGACTCGGGAAAAAAATCATGTATAGAAAAATCATCTAGCAGAATTATATTTACCTCTATTAAGACATGCCATCCACATTATCTCCATTACTTTTGTAACTTCCTTTCCAACAAGAAATGTAAAGACTCGAACAGGGATTGTTGTTCCATTATCAAGTCTATTATATTTTTCAAATACTTCAGTGATGTTACCAGCTACACTATCAGTTACTAACATGATTGCTTGATTACATAATGTACCACTTTCATCTCCACAGCCTCTAGTTTCTCTTTGCTATCAATATAGAAAAAGAACATGATTTATCAGTTCATTGATATACATCATTACGAAATTCCTTGAAATATAAGATTTCAACAGATCATTTAAGATTATAAGTTTGAAAATAAAATTACTTCAAATTTGCTTACTTGTTCTAGTAACTTGAAGGCCTGGGTGAAAACTGTTGAAAAATTTGCATATCCTTCCAATTCCAATGCATTAATAGCTGCTTTGAAAGTGTTAATATTCTCAAGAGTAGCCTGAAATTAAATGCAGATTTTTTTATTGCAATAAATCCTACAAATTAACATTCCTCTGTATATCCCTATTCTGTATATTTTCGTTTCTTTTGTGAGATTTTTCAATTTTACTCTTACATGCACTTGTACATATTTAATGCAACCATTCTTGACATAGCAGTATAGAAGACCTAACACACCATGTGTTTTTCTTTATACGAACAACTTTTCAATTTCAAAGCAATAATCAATAACAAGTATGAAGAATATAAATAGAATTGTACAATTGTACAACTTCAATAATTGATCTGGAACAGGGGTTTTCAAACTGTGGATCCCAGCTATATGGTGGGGCGTCATGGTGATTTATTAAAAACAATCTTTAGATTTGACGTACTTGTCATTTACATCCACAAAATAATTTTGTACTATCATAGTATATGTTATTTGTAATATATATGTTTTATTTTACTACTTAATTATGGATTAATTGAAACTGACAAGTACTTTACCAATAAGCTTCTGTGGCGCTTTTAGTATCGACAAGCATCCCTAGCACACATTGGGGATATTTAATCTTTCTACTCATGCAGACCAAGGATTCCCATACCCATGCAAGCTGTGTCCAACTTTTTGGTTGCGATCGAAATTGAATGATGAAATAAAAATTGTGTATTGCAGTTTCTAATATTGAACCCAGATTTGATCAATTGTTGATGAAGAAGCAAGCTCATACTTCCCATTAATATTTAGAAGAATTTTGTAATAAAAATAATATTTTTGAATAAAATTTGTTATTATTTTAATACCTAATTAAAATGGAGAAATAAAATAGATCTTTTATTACTTACTCATTTATGTTGAATCTTTAGTAGGCCTATCTTAACCCTTATACTTGAAACATATTGTTATCAGGATAACCACCAGAAGTTACTTGTAGGTCAAGGGAGCTGGGAAAAAGTTTGAAAACCCCTGGTCTAGAATATAATTCACCTCAAATATCCAGTTTCACTCGAGTGATAAAGACCTATGCTACACTTGTTACACTTCCTCTGTTAGTAACATTTTCTGTACCATTAAGGCAGTAAAAAAAACATGTTCATACCTACTCTTCATTAACATTACTTTTCATTTTTGCTTTTGCAGTTCGGTCAAAACTTCATAGATATCACATTCAGTTACTTTAAGATATAATGACGAGTCCCCTGGACATTTTTAAAATTTTCTCGAAAACGTCCCCAAATTTTTTCTTTAAATTTCTTGTAAGA